CTGAGAACGATCGAGAAGACGGGCGGTTAAAAGGCAGCGAAGAGATCAAAAAGGCACAGAGTGCAAAGGCACTGATGCAGGAGATCCATTCCCAGCAAGAGACAACTTGAGTGCACACCCAGTGACATTTACACAGTGACTGCATTTTTTTCACTGTGCCTACAGTTCCAATTTAGAAGCATCATTCAGACTTCAAAGAGATTTTATCCCAACAGTCTAACGGTCGAACTCTGGATCATTCGAAGTTAGAGTCATTCAAACTATGAGGCACCACTGTCATGACCAATACCATGAAAGTAAGGTATTAGAAGGTCTTAAAGGGGGGAAGTTGTTAGAAAAGGCTGGTTGTTTATAACAATTTCTGCACACTCTAACTGCAAAAGGGCAAACTGTCTGTGGACTTTTTCCTGGCCAAGCAGCAACTCTGGCAATGGCCAGACTCTAGGCCAAAGATATCTGAGTAGCTTACCTTAGCATAAGTGAACTTTACAACCATTAGAAGCAGGAGAAAGCATTAACTTCTTATAGGGTGGTGCATCTAAAATGAGCCCGTGGAAAGCACATGGCCTCACCACAAATGTTAAGAGGAAGCCAGCTAGATGTTAAGATAAGGCTAGGAGGAGGCCACCTAGCATAGCTGCAAATGTCAAGGGGAAATACGTCTGTAAATACATTACAATGTGCATGGGTTCCTGAAGGCCTAAGAGACTCAGAAGAAAATGGAGAATCAAGGAGCATGGTGGGACTGACCAAGACTAAGTATTTTGCATAGCAAAACGAAAAGCTGGGAGTAGTTGGAGAATGGAATGTAATAGATAAGATAAACCCACCCTGTACCATCCAGAGAGAGAATGGAATGTGGTGGACATGTTTTTCCAAAATAGGGAAAGACCAGTACATCCTGTGTCTGTTTTTTGTTCAACTGAGCTCACTGTTCGATCCAGTTTGAACTAGCTGATAGTGTAAACTTTCTGAGGTATAAAATGCCTGGGCTTTTTTTTTTATGAATGTATTCAATTCACACATTAAAAAAGAATATATTCATATTCTGAATACATTGTATTGTATTTTTACTGAACATCTGATTGTATTTTTACTGAACATTTATTATTACTATTGATTGTTACTGTATTATTGTTTTATCATTGTTGTTGGTTTTAACGTTGTAAGCCGTCCTGAGACGCTGTCATGAAGGACAGGATACAAATGTTTTAAATTAAATAAATAAATACTGGCTGGGGATGAAAGCTCAAAATATTCAGAAGGCTGCTTCAGGAAGAGGGAAATGTATGAAGCTGAAGAGGTGCTGGAAACATGTCTGTGAATATGACAGTGGCCTGGCATCTTGTCAGCCTTGATTGATAAACAATGTTTAGACAGAATCCGTGCCTTGGAGAAATAATCTTCAGAGCTGCTAGTTATATCTACATTCTGCTCCAAGGAAACCTGGAATATCTTAAAAGTGGAATAATTTTGCTTACAAGAAATGGGATAAAAACAAATGCTGAAGCACATTACTCATAAGTAAATCACATTGAGTTCTATGCAATCTATTCATAGAATGTTCTCCTTCCTATGGGAAGGATTCAAGGTTTGACTAGAATTCAAGCAGGAACAAAACAATCCCATAAAAACCTAAACGATTTCCTTGATACCAGGGTGTAAGATACAGAATAATCAAGTTGCAACCACCCAGATTCAGGCTGGACATCAAGAAAAGTTCCCTCACTGTCAAAGCAATACAACAGTGGAACCGGCTGCCTAGAGAGGTGGTGTGCTCTCCCACACTAGAGACATTCAAAAAGAAACTGGATAGCCATCTGAGTCAGATGGTATAAAGTGTGTCCTGCAACAGCCAGGGGTTGAACCTGTTGCTAAAATGCCCTTGATCTTGGAGTGTCTCTGTAGAGAAAAACCACCGGAAGACTATTGTATATCGAGGAGATAGGGATGGTGTCCCACAATTGCTCCTTTTGTTCCTATGTCTCCTGAAGGATCTTAAGAATAGGGCCTCCTTAAGACCCAGTTGAGGTTCTCTGGCATGAAATATGTGCTATTCTGATTGGGATGGTACGGTCTTGGAATGCAGGAGGATACCGTAAACCATGGGTCCTCAAACAACGGCCTGCGGGCCGGATCTGGCCCGCCATGTCCATTTAACTGGCCCGCCCAGAGGTTTTGCACTTGCTGCGTGCACGCAGGAACATGGTTTGCTCGCAGGGAGATCATTTTGGACTCGCTCAGAGAAAACAATATCTGCTTGATCAAGCGGCTGCCTTGCCCTGCACACCCCCCTGCCCCCCTCGCCTTGCACACCCCAACCCATGCCCCCCCGCCCGCACCCCCCCCCAGCACCACCTTGGCAGCCCGCGTAAATCATGACCTCTGCCGTAAATCATGGATCCTCAAACTACAGCCTGCGGGCTGGATACGGCCTACCATGCTCATCTATCTGGCCCACCTCAGAGCTTCTGGACTCACAGTGAACTGGCTCCCTGTTTAAAAAGTTTGAGGACCCCTGCCATAAATAGTGGATTTGGCTGTTGTCCACACACCTTATCTTTTAGGTGGTACCTAAATCATCATGGGGATGCAGGTGGCGCGGTGGTTTAAATTGCTGGGCTGGTTGATCGAAAGGTTGCTGGTTTGAATCTGCACAACGGGGTGAGTTCCCGTTGCTCCGTCCCAGCTCCTGCCAACCTTGCAGTTCGAAAGCATGCAAATGCAAGTAAATAAAAAGGTACCACTTTGGTGGGCAGGTAACAGCGTTCCGTGCACTTCGGTGTTTAGTCATGCCGGCCACATGAACACGGAGACTGTCTGCGGACAAACGCTGGCTCCCTCGGCTAGGAAACAGAGATGAGCACCACCCCCTAGAGTCAGCATGACTGGACAATGTCAAGGGGAAACCTTTACCTTTAAATCATGAGACCTGCAAACAGCAGGTGTGATTAATTAAGGTGCTGTCTTGGATGGCACATAGCACTCTAAAGTTTAGGATAAAAAGCCTAAGGAGAGCTTTGATGCAGACCTAACCAGGCAGTTGCTGCATGCCAGCAGTAGATTGGGGTGCCTGACAGCTGATTGAGGAAAGTCAGCTTACTTGGTATTGTATATTCTTCATATTATTGTGCCTCCTTTAGAATAAAATCTTTTGACTTCAACCCACCTGTGTGCTTATTGCTTCCGGATCTGAAAAGAACCATTGCCTTTTGCAAAACAGCACGTCCTCTTCTAATCTACAGGTTAACAATCAGCTTTCACTGCTCCTGTCAGGGTATGTCCATTGCATAATCTACAGGTTAACAACTGTGCATGTCTGGGTATTTTCAGGCTAACGGTTGATTCTAACATTAATTCTAACTGCGCCTATCGGAGTGCCCCTCTCCGGAGGATATCAAGGAAAGTTTGTGACTGCTATTTTCTAGGTAACCTGCCTGCAGTTCCAAAAAGAGACTGCAAGCTTAGCCCTTTGGTATAGGCGCTGCTTAACTGCCAATCTTGATGTCTGTGGTGCAGACTAGGCAGCCAAAGCCGGGTGGCAAATGGTGGGGAGGCCTGAGGTTTCCACAGGCTCCTATCAGCCCTATAGCTCAGGAATGCATGCAGTGTTCTACTTATACTTGTTGCTAGGGAAAGCTACTCAGAACCCTTTGGGTCCAGAGTCTGGCCATTGCCAGAGTTGCTGGCTCACAGAAAACAGTCTGAACGGTTGTTTCTTGCAGTTACAGCAAGCAGAAATTATAATGAGCAGCAAACCTTTTCTAAGAGACCCATGGCTTTCATGGCTCCTTCCAGCTCTAGTATTCTATGATTCTATGCATGTCTACTGAGAAGTAAGCCTCATTGCATTAAATGGGATTAACCGCCCAAGGAAGTGTGGATAGGATAACTGCCTAAATCTTTTCAGCATTAAAGGCACCATAGGACTTACTTTTGGTTTTGTTGGCTTGTTTTGTTCCAGCTTGCTTCTTATTTGCAGAGGAGCTGATGTGTTAGGCTTGCTAGTCCGCGGCATCCTACAGAATGTTATTTATTCTGGCGAAAACTTTCGCGGACACTGCCTCCTAAGTGTGAGATACAAAACTCACTGAAACGGAATCTAAGTAAATGCAAGCCAAATTTATTGAAGCATTTGCAAAGGCTGGCTGAGTCCCCAGTTATACAAGGAACAAAGAGAAATTTCCCCATAGTATACATAGGTTTATATACATTCCTTTTTCCGATGCTTAGTACTACCCCCGCTTCACCATTGGCTGGTTACTATCGAGTGAACAGTCCGCTCCTGACGCCTATTCTTGGAATATTTGCAAAACATCTAGTTTCACAACCTTCCTGCCTTTCCTGCTTCAGTTGGGGACTTTCGTGGTTAAGTTACCTTATCCTAACGGACTAAGTCTTCCTATTTTTCTAAGTGGTACGTGTCAGTCCTTTTCTCAGAAAATGGTTCCCCTTTATAAAATAGCTCTCCTTGGGCCCCTTTTTATCCTTTTTTTTAAAAAGATACAATTCTTTTACCCTGTTTCTCACATAAGGTTACTCCGGTGCAGAAAATCAGAAGCATAAAGCGCTCTCTTCATCTTAGGTTAAACCTAAGAGTGGCGGGAGCCCCCTTGCAAAAGCAGAGCCGCGCTTCGATCCGCATCGGCGGCGGCAGAGAGCGCTGCGGGAGCGCTTTCCGGAGGCAGGCAAGAGCGGCCCGAGCACAGCCGCTTCGCCTACTCAGGGAGGCGAACGGCTTCTCTCCCTCCTCCGTTATCCTTCTCTCCCCCGCCCCATGGGCGGTTCCACGTGAAATACGAAGGGTCGAGGAGAAAGGAGAGCGGCACGCAGGGCAGGCGCGGATGGCTCAGTTGCCTTCATTTCGCGGAAGTAAAGCAGAGAGACCACCGCGCTCCTCTTTTTTCTCTCTCGCCCGCGGACCCGGCTTTTCTGAGGGCGATCCCGTAAGGAGAACGAGTAGCCGCTGCTCGTCGGAGGGTGGTGGTTTATTCCTAAAGTTAGTATCGCTATTCGCTTCATTCCCAAGCAGCGGGCGGGAAAAGCTTCCGCGGTTGCTGGGGAATTGGCGCGGCCTGCTGCGCCTCTCCGCCTGCGTGAGACGGACGGTGCGAGCGGAGAAAGGAGCGGGCTGGCTGCGGGTGAGGGGAGGGAGGCGAGGAGGAAAATCAGGAGTACGTGGGCACAAAATGGCGAGCGGAGGAAACGCACCTCGCTCTTGAACGGCAGCGAGAAAGGGGAGCCGGGGGAGATTTCTGGCCATCTTTTTCTCTGGTGGGCGCCACAGTTGATTCCCTTCCAGGGAGCCTCTCAAGCCGCCACCCGAGGGCGAGAGACGCGCCGCTTCTCGGCCGCCTTATTTTCGTCTGCTTTCTGCCTAGGCTTGCGTCCCTTCCGGCTCTCGGCTCGTTTCGAGGAGGGATCTGCGCTGCTCGTCTCCCTCGGGACCGCAGGCTGCCGTCCCTCCCCGAACACTGGGGGAGCGGGCAGTTTGGGGCTCTCTCGGGCGTTTTGCCCACCAGGAGGAGATCGCGCTAGCTGCCCCTTTTCTTTGCCTCCCGCTTCCCCACCCTCAGCCGGGGAGGCTGCTGCATCGAAGGGCTGGGGCTGCCTCTTGGCGGGCGCAGTAAAACTCGGCATTGTCCTGGGTGAGCAATGGTTTCTGATGGAGAGATGCGCGGTGACGCTGGGATTTTGCTTTTGGCTGGGAGAGTGGACCCGCCGTGAGTATCATTTTGGTTCAGTTCTGGAAAGACAGACGTCCCGCTCTTGCCTGGTCCAGCCGTTGGTACTACGGCTGCCTTCCCCAACCTGGTGCCCTTCAGATGTGTTGGGATTGCAACTTCTAGCTATGCCGGCGAGTGTAGTGTTGATACTGAATCAACAGTCAGGTATGATGAGGAAGCAGGAGAAAATTAAATTTGAAAACTTATGACGAAGGGGACTAGCAACCTATACTGGTTGCTATCTGATAAAATTGGCATAGAAAAACAGGATACTTTAGCTAGGATAAGAAATTCCTTGAAGCTGAGGTCATGTGGTACTTTGCTGGGTGTTATAAAAAGAGGAACTGAGAATGCCTCAATCTGGAGTGATTCACTGTGCGCCTTTATTCTGCAGAATAAAATCCTAAATCTTCACATCTCTGTCGTGTTTTTATTGGGCAATAGTATGCCAAATCATGAATACATTTGGGTTTGAACAACATGTAAGCTGGGAGATAGCAGAAAGTTTTGGCTTTATTAGAAAAGCAATCAGATACACACCTGTGTGGCAGAATGCAAGAACAAATCCCCAGAGTCTGGGTTTGTGAGGTGTTTATACAAAGCAAGAAGCGTAACTCATCATTCAATACTTTTCCATTGTTCCCATATCTTAGTTAGATACTGCTTCTATCCCACAGTGCAGCTACAGCTGTATGGTTTCAAACCAAAGGTGGCAAGAGTTTAATCATGTACTCAGACCGGCTTTCCTGCTCCTAATAGTAGTCCAACATCTGGAGATGGCATGAGGCTGGAGAAGGCTGCCAAAAAACCTTGTTGGAAGAGGCTTGTAAAGGTATGTGGTTGACCACAGTGGGAAATGTTTGGCTAGATAAGTCTTCGGTCTGATCTAGCAGGGTTTTTTAAATGTATCAACAGTCATTAAACATAGAATTGTTATGAACCACTTGGCTTCTAACATTTGGAACTGTAGAAATGCAGTAAATAATAGTTAACATCCAGTCTCTAACTATATACATATGGATGAGAGATACTCCTTTGTAATGTTGCAGTTATTAAATTGAAATTGATTATAACTAAATTCTCTTCCCCCTTTCATACTTTAGGGTTTGCTTAAGTGTACATGGCTATCTGATAAGGCTTTCCCACAACTCTTTTCTCTGCCTGACTGAATGCCGATAAAGTCTTCAAAAACAAAGATAAAGTTGCTCTTAAAAAAATTAATCCTGTCCTGTTGAATTTCTATTGATATTACTCTGGTGACCTGATTGTATTACTTCTTTCAGAAGTGATACAATATCTGTGAGGCCTTATTTTTTGATGACAATAAAAGTGTTTACAACTCAAAAGCAAGTTGGACATGCTATTGCTCATTGCCTTTTATTGTTGCAAAAAAGGTTTGCAATGTAACATTAGCACTGAACCCTGTTAGCTTCTTAAAGGGAGCACTCTTATTTGGGTTTTGATCCTTCAAAACGATCTCCTCTTTAGTGATTCTTTCTTGTACTAAGTTTCAAGAAAGTAATTGCCTATAAATTTTTGTAAAGTAAGAAAAAATAGCCTTTTCATCTTATGCTTGGAATTGTGAGATGAGAACTAAAGCCGGATAAATCTATCTTGTGTGCATGTTTGTATGCTATGTGTACCAGAGCCCAGTCTCGTGCATGCATATTTAGAAGTAATTTCTGCTGTGTTAATGAAAGTTATATCCAATTTTGTGTGCGTAAAATTGTGGATGTGTGGCACAGACCTGTGCATGTTTATTTGAATGTATATCCTGTGATTTCATGAGAACTTACTCCCTGATAGGCATACCACTGTAGCATTCAGCTGCTACTTGTCACAGTATCTCCATAGATAAGGATCTCAAAGGGCTGTTTTCTTTGACCAGGATGGCTGAGTGTAGGGGGGCTTCTCAGCAGTGTCTCTGGGATCAGCAGTGGCAGGGAGGAGCTGCATTTTCCTGGGTCACCTCTGGGAGAAGACCAGGATGAGTCTTATCCCTCACCTTCCACACTCATCCCTCCACAGGGGAATTGGTGCCTTAGGTGGAGGGGTTGCATACATACCTTGCTTGCTGCATGGATTGCTTCCTGGGACGATTGGTGCAGGGTGGATGGGGGGTTGTATTCCCCTGGGCTTCTTCGCAAGAAGACCTTGGAGAACACAGCTTTTCCCTCCCTCATAGGTACCACAGCCTGCAAGGAGGGGGGAATAAACTGTGTTTTTACACTTTTCTTCAGCTGGAGCTTTGCCTGCTATTTTGGGTCAGCAGGGAATAGGAGTTGGCTGAAGCTTCCTCCTCTTCCCTGCCAGCTGAAATGTCTGGTGGGGGCACCTCTGGCAGCAGTGGGGAAGAGGATCAAGCTTGTTGTGCTGCCTGGGTTCAGACAACATAACAGTCCCAGGTATAGCTGTGAAACCCCACAAGTCATAATGTGTTGGGGTGGCTTTGTAGCCACGAAGAAGCTACCTTGCTGGTGGAATGCTCAGTTCATGCAACATGCTAAGCTGTTGTAGCATTGAAGCCATGGCAGCTTAGTCTGTAAATCCAGTTAAAACTAGTTCATAATTTTATTAACTTACAGCATCATTACTGCCGGAGCAGTTTATAAATATTTCTAATGCCAGTTCAAAAGACACAACACAAAAGAGAGGGTGGAAGGAGAGGGGAAAAGCAAAATTTGGGCTCCAATTCTTAATTTGAAAGTTTGTGCTGTCTGGCAGGGGAAGAATGAACCAACTCCCCACAGCTGTTTCTTGTATGGCTGATATGACCCAGGTTTGTTTCATCATTGCCATAATGTTTTTCCTGGAAGGTCAGAGTTGCTGTCTCCTAATGGAAAAATTAGTATTTTGACAAGTTTATGGAGGAATATATTCAGGTGGTATATGACTCAGATAGGCTGAAACTGAACTGGTTGCAGAATCAGACAGGTTGCCTGTGCTGCATTAGTCATCTCTGATTTTGTGTTCTTGCAGTCTCTCCACAGCCACACCAGGAAAGGATGATAGAGTGCATCTTTCCCTGTTGTCATTCAGGAGCCCAACAGCAAAATCTTGCATCTTGTGCTTTCATTGAAACAACTGCAAGATCTGCAATTATTTGGTCATTCCCTCTGGGAAAATTGGCAATTGAGGTATTGCTGATTGCCTATTGGTACTAGGCAACCAGTGTTATTGTGCTAAAAGGAAGTAAAAATAAGTCAATGTACCAAGGAGATGTTCTTTGTTGTATATATGTTTCTAGAAATAGCAGATGGTTAAAATGTAGAAGGCAATGTCAAGGATGATCAAGTGTATCTCTTGCAATTAATAGAGACGGTTCAAAAATATTCCTGTATCTTGTGCTAGCCTTCATAGTCCATTGTGCTGGTAGAAAGCATTCATGTGCAGATACAGCTGATCTGGCTCATCAATGCTTTTGTGGGAAAATTGTTTTAACCGTAAGAATTTAGTATAATTGGAGGTATTCTAACACTCAGACCCTGTGTGTTGCCCTGACTGTGGGCTAAATGTTTTTGGGATCCCAAGGAATTGATATGCCAGATCCAGATTTGCTTACAAGAAGACTTTATTAAGCAACTTACAAATGTTCACATGTGCCAAGTAAGTAGGAGCCAACATCAAAGACAGCTACACTATCGTCCGACATCTGAACCGCATACAGAAAGGCTGGCCAATTTATATAGGTTTTGTGTTTACAGCAAATATACATCAAAGCATACTTTGGAAGTTTGATATTGATGAATAAGACAGCATTGACATTTGTAATCCTAAGATGGGTGATGGATATTATACAAGTGCCATGAAATAAATGGAGAAAGTATTTACCTCATTAGCAGGCTAAAATGTATGATACACAAGGTATTTCCCATCATTGCTAGTAAAGCTTCCTAACAAGGATTTTATTCCTACTTTATGTGCCAAAATGATAGGACAAAGTATAAATTTATGCAATAAAGCATAAGCTCATTAGTAGTCCTGATTAAGTGTGTACTCCAAGATGGAGTACATCTGTGTCCTTTGGCCTATCTCTCTTGCCAACAATATACTCTGGGGCCTCTCTATTTTGGAAGGCACCTGGCCAAGGCAAGAGGAAGATAGCTGGAGTTCGATGCTTTAATTAAGCTAAGCAAAACCTACATTTTGGAAGACAGAGGCTGAGGCTCAGTATACCCTCATACAGAAAAATCCTTTACCCCACCAGGAAAACACTGTTCTTGGGTTTGCTGCTGCTTCCTTTTTGAAGAGTGATATACATACAAACTTTAAAAATACTACTCTCACACTCCTGTATACAACAAACATACAGACATAGATGTGATTACAAGAAATATTAAGTGAGAGCTATAACAACTGCTACCACTAATGATTCCCATCTCAGAACCTCGGGAATAAACCTGGGTGTCAGAAGGACCCGGTCTTCCTTTTCCATTAACCAACTGTCAAACATGATTATGTTTGTTTAAATCAGTGATTGATCATTATGCACATTTTATTTTTGCCTGTTCCCATCTTTTCCCAGATGCTACTTTGCTTAGGCTGTTTGTCCCAAATAGCCAGGAAAGTACTGGTTTTCCACAGAATTCTGACAGATTAACACACAATGTGTTATGTTCTTGTATTTTGTCCTAAGCATAAGTGACCGATCTTCTGTTTTGTATGTAGCTGAATTCCTCCCTAATTTGACAGACCTCTGCTGCATGTGTAGCAACATCATTTATTGACCAAGCTTTTGCTATTGGTAAACTATAGGCCTGTAGAAGGCTTGTGCCTTAGTTTGTATACTGTATCTGTGGTGAACACATTGCTTTCCTATGTGGAATTGTTAGAAGAGGCCAGCCATTCTATAATGATGCTTGATTGCTGTAACTTGCAAGAAGACTGTAGACCGACTGTTTCTGTGACCCAAAGACCATGGCTGTGGACCCAAAGGCCTCTGGGTAGCCTGCCTTAGCAATAGCTCTGGGGCTGCCAAAAGCTGCTCCCAGTCTATGTGCATAAGCTGCGTGTGTCTAAACTACACAGATCAGTTAAGAGCTGGTTGACCACATGCGCTGAAAGGAAACCACTAGTTTGGCAAGTAGCAAGTGTTAAGGGGAAGCGGTTATCAGAAGAATCAGCTCACTCCAAACTAGCTCAGAGAGAGGTACCTGATGAAACCCCAAATGTCATGGGAAACAGTTCTCAGAAAAGTACCTGTGAAACACCCAATCCCAAGACCTCACTGATGACACTTCGAAGGTGCCATGACAGTGGAGGCCAGGATTGGCCGATCTGAAACTGGAGAGCACTTCAACACGCACAGTCAGAATTGCTTGCCAATCTGAAACCTATAAAGACCACGCCCCAACCTTTGCTTTTTGTCAGCTCTGCTTTTGGGCATGAGCCACGCTGTTGACCTGTTTTGCATACAAAATAAATGGTTTAAGTCTACTGGGCATTGCTTCCCTTTTTCCTTATAACTGAGTCCCTCCCAGAAAAAGACCAGGGGCATTTTTGGAACATAATGTACATGTGTGTACATGTGTATGTGTACTTATGTATATATTTGATACACCTTTGCATTCTTTACTAGCATTTGTAAGGAGCACTCAGCTCAAATTAGATTCAGGAGATACACAGATAAGGACAGTGCATGTTAACTTATCTCAAAGGAAACAAGCCCCTCAGAGTTGTTTCTCCAAGGAGGCAGGCTTAACCCTGTCCAAAACAAGTAGCATCAAATTGGGATACTTTTAACAGGTGCCTTACCCATGGATAACATGCAGTGTAAAATAGGCAAAAAACATATATTATTGGTGGTAAACTGTTTATTCTGCTGAACTCAGGGTGATCTGGTGATGGTGGAATCTTCAGTGGTTTGCTGTGAACAAACTGCAGTATGTTTTATGCACTTATATCCACACTGGCCTGGTTTATGGGTCTCTCTTGGTAGAAGGCTGTATTCTGCCACAGGCTTCTACTGAAGAGGGCAAGGTTTGCTAATAGCTTTTGTTTCTGTGTGTTTATTTAATGATAGACTATTGAAAAATCTGCCCCATGCTAAATTGCATTAATCTGTCTGGGGAAGCCTTTCAGGAAGTTTGCTGCATTTTAAAAGTAACTGGTCTTTTAGTTATGATTTAGGAATCTTGTACAGCGAAATGACCAGTTAGTGCTTCAGGGCAACAGGCAATTTCACACTGGCAGACTGAAATACAGCTATAGGAAAAGGAAAGATAATTGTGTTTATAGCTTCTCCAGGTTGCCTTGCCAACTGGAAATATTTTGGAGAGCAGTCTGAGACATCTATACTCCTCTTTACTGCTCCTTTGTAATATCAGAGTGGTGTGTAATGGAATTATAATCATCTGTGACCTGATCAAGGATGTGAGGTTTGACCTGGCTTGTCTCAAAGGGAATTGGCTGGAAGAAGACAGTGGTCCTGTATGGGTAGAGGCCCACCGAACTGGCTGCTTTGTCATGGATCAGGTAATGCAAAGTAGGCTAGAGGTGGCATGGCTGTGATCCGTAAGGAACATTAAGGGTAAGAATACCATCCCTTTGACCACATACTGTGTTAAGGAACTGAAATAAGTTGAGTGCACTTGAGGTTGAGGTTCAGTAACAGACTGGGAATTCTGTTGTTAGACAACCTCATTCTTTGGCTGAACTCATGGAACTCATTTTGGAACAATGAGATTGAATAACAGTACTGTTCATTGTCTCCTGTTCTCAACTTCTGTTGCCATATTTTACCATGTAGTTAATCTTAATTGCGGATTTTTATAGATATTTCTATATGTTTTCTCAGTGTAATGGAATTTACTCCTATGCAGGCATGCTTGGAAAAGAGAGCAGCTGACTGTCTTAAGACATGGTATATATCAGTATGGTCATAATGAACAGTATTTGGAGAAAAATTAGAAAACTAGAATGGCAGTCTCCCATGCTGCTGTTAAATAGGAAGGGGGATATAGCAGCTGCAGACTATTGTGATGTTTGGCTCTCCTGATGTCTATACTTTGCTTTGAATACTTCATAAAACAAAAATATAGTGGTGCCTCATACTTCAAACTTAATCCGTTTCAGGAGGCCGCTTGAACTCTGAATCTTTTGAAGTCCGAAGCAATGTTCCCCGTTAGAAATAATGGAAAGTGAATTAATCCGTTCCCAGACCCTGAACGATACCCATCTCGATAAACTTAAACAGCAAATATGTTTAATTTAAGGTAAAGAAACACAAATAAAAGTCAAATTTATAACTTGAAAACAATAAATATGTACAGTACTGTATAATAAAATGAAAATTGCATTTATTGTCAAATGATCGAGGAGGCAGTGAAAAGGATTGGGAAGGCAAGCAGTTAAAAGGCACTGGGAACAATCAAAAAGCATTGAAAAGGTATGAAATGAAAGGCACAGATGCAACGAGAGATGACGTGAGCACACAACTGATGACATTTACACAGTGACTGCATTTTTTTCACTGTGCCTGCAGTTCAAACTTAGAAGCATTGTTTGAACTTCGAAGAGATTTTATCTCGTTTGAACTATGAGGCACCATTGTAATAATCAGATGATGTATGCTGAAGAATCACATTTGCTTAAATAGAAAATTCAGTTCAAAAACAAATTTGATGAAGCCTTGAGAATGGGTATTGAAAATTGAGAGTTTTTACACAAATTAGATCTTCTAGGACTTTATTTGTTAATGAATAGAAGCCCAGTCTGTAATAGATACTAGTAAATTCTGATTATACCAAGCAACTCCTGAGATTTTAAAGATAATTTTGCAGTTTATGCCTTTCATAATGCTGGGCTTCTGGTGAATGAACCAGATACATCCAGTGCGTAGGATGATATGTATTAGTCCTCCCTCAGGATTGCTACTTAAGAAACATTGGCTCTTAGCCAAATAGGTGCATATTAATCTACAATATGAGTTTATATCACGTGGAAATGTATGAAGATTATTTGGACATGCCTTGACATTTTCTGGAAGATAATTTGCTAATTGAAATTCCTAGAAAGTGATAATATGATACAGTTCTTGTTTAATTTTTAAAGGAAATTTTAACATGTTAGATTCTATAAGGGAGGAAGGAGGTTTATGACAAGTGGCATTGGCTGGCAAAATCCTTGGTTGCTCGCAGCTAACCAGAGGCAAAAATGTAAGTATCTTGTTTGTATACTCTAGGCTGCAGCTGATTCTAATTGTGTAAGAAAAATCAATTTATCTATAAAATGTCGAGCCAATGGACAAGTTGGAAGCCTTCAATCCTTTATTAAGCAAATACCTGATGGTGCTGTGAAAGATAGATCTGTGGACAAGTTAGCAGAGAAATGGCTTTTCTTCGTTAAATTATGCAACTTATATATGGTAAACTGGCACATTACATTTGGTATACAAACCACAAAACAGAAAGTGGTTTTGACAGTGTTTTGTGATATATTTAATGCTTGTCTTTGTAATCTAATTCCTAGGTGACACACAATTTTGCAAATGTTGCACAACCAAGCTTCATTTCCTTAGTCCTTCGTGTTTTCAAGCAGCTTGCATTTAGCTGAAGCCTTAGCATATTAACTTGAGGTTAATCTAATCAATAGTTAAAATGTATTATTTCCATGTTTATTGTTGACATTGTTTATTGTCAACTCAGAGGAGACTTAAACTGCTAGATTACACACATGTTCGCTATATTCCTTATTCAGATGATGGAGAGGTCTGTTCTGCACTGGGGAAAGGGGAAACATTGAGGGAGGCTCACCAGAGCAACAGGACTTTGCAAGCTGAACATAATTTAGAAAATCTATTTCTCCTTTTTTAATGCTTATGCCCAAGGTTTAAACAGGAATCTAGAGACTGCTGGCAAATGCAAGGAAAGCCAGTATGTTGTGGTCGTAGGAGAAGTATAGCAGAAGTCTGAGTAGAACAGCCACAAAGCCCTGTAGCAGTACAACCTGGCTTACAAACATGTTCTTTCTCCATTACCTTCAAACTCTCAACTCCAGTTTTCTTATGCAACCTTTTCTTTGGAAATGACACGTATTGAGGCAGATCAGCCTTCCAAGCTTAGCTGAATATCTTGTCTTTTGTATCTATATGATAGTTCTACAAATCTGTGTGAAAAAATGTGTTGTGCTTCAGGAATTATATGTTCTTGCTTTATTTTTCAGAAAATTGTACCATGTGATCCTGCTGACACTGAAGATTAAACAAGCATGCATAAAATCTAAACTAATAAATTGTAAGTGTTGACTTCCTATCTTTGCTTTGTATTATCTTTGTTTTGTGTTTAGGTTTATCATCCCAAAGAAATGTCTAATATATATGCATTTAAACATAGTATGCTGGGATGCCTTGCTTTGGCTAACCACAGCTTTCACATTTTTGGGGATTACAGTGAAGCAAACATACATACATCATCTGATTAAAAACTGTTTTTCTTTTTCTCTGTCCTTGTGCATCACACATATGCCCTCTGCACCTGTGTGAAGTCTGTTGTCAGGAAGATCCATAGCTGAGCAAGTTTTGCCAGGAACCCCTTCCCCACTTCAGCATTTGGTATATGTAGGAGGACTCCATTTCCGCAGTTCTTCCTTGTGCTGCACGTTCTTTTCTCTCAACATTTCTAGTGATTCCTGAGTGCCCTTATGTTTTTCTCTTCGTGCCTTCTATGATGACCTTTCTCTATTTTTACTTATTTCATTTCTCCATCCAATTAACCTTCTACAAACCAACAGCACAAGTTCCTCATTTCTTCTAAAATTAATCACTGATCTTGATTCTTTTTTCTTACTTACCTTTTCATATTCTATTTCCAGTGGCACTCAGGGTATCTTTTCATAAGCACTCTACAAGTACTTGAAAGGCTGTTACGAAGAGGAAGAACAGGATCTCTTTTCTCAGTCATCTCAGAGCGCAGGACATGGAATAAAGGGCTCAAGTTATAGGAAGCCGGATTCTAGCTAGATATCAGGAAAAACTTTCTGACCTAATTAGAGCAGTATGACAATGAACCAGTTATTTAGGGAGGTTGTGGACTCCCATGCTAAAGGGATTCCAGATGCATCCAGTCAACCATCTGAAAGGGATGCTTTAACTTGGTGTCCTGCACTGAGCATGGAGTTGGGCCTGATGGGCTTCTGGCCCCTTCCGACTTCTATTCCATGATTCTACAAAAACAATTAAAAATGTTTCTTCCTCTGGAGACTGTGGATCTCCGTGTGAGAGAGACTTTCAGGCTGGGGATAAATGAAGTTGTCAAGTTAGAACTGTAAGCCTGATAATGTTAAGGATTATTGGCAACTTAATTGGCAGGTATACTTGAATGTTCCACCCTGAACCTTCACTGGGCAATTTTGTGGTATGCTGTGCAACTTGACTTGCAAGGGAAAATCTACTCTTAATAGCATTTTTCTGTTAAGTTCCACTTCTAAATCTTTTAGAAAGAGTATTTTTGAGTGCATAGTGATCTTTATTCTATCATTTTATGATGACATTTGTGAACAAGTGTAATGATATAGGCAGGATTCACAACAACACTCAACCACAATGTAGCAGTATATACATTAGCAGAAAGGTGCTTGTACAAAACACTAGGCTTGTGTGTTGCCTCCTTTCTTTCACATAACTGGGCAGAATAATTCCATTTGACTGCACTTTAGCATTTTGCTGGCTTGTTGCTGTATTTGAGACAAGAACTGTGGCTTAAAATACATTTTAGTTAAGCAAACCAGCAAAGCTTGGTTAGTAATGTACTAGAATTCCTTGTAAACCACAATTAATAATCTAGGAGTCAAATCTTCCTCTTGGTCATGCCAGAGGAGGTAGGACGAGGGCTGTTAGGCTTCACACAGGTTCTTTTCTGTTGCTGTTTAATTTAGAGTTATGTGCAAACACATTGGTTTGCTCTGTAAAGTACACTGACTTGCTTATAGCTATTAGTGCTACATTTTTAAAATCTTTCAAGTTTGTTAATAGCATATGACCTGGAATGATAGCAATCTTTTTGAAACCTCTTCATTTAGAAACATAGAAATAGAGCAAGTCAAAAGGGGCCTCCTGGGCCACCCACAGCGCCAGCCAGCTCTGCTCACAACATGCCTACCATGTGCATGTCTAGCCTGTCCTTTTTTAAAGTAAATTTTATTATTATTTTCTACAAACTAAAAAAGAAACTAAAAAAAATCACTCATCGGAGACATCAGACCTGCTGGGTCAGCCCCCCTCTTTTTTTTTTTATAGCAATCCATAGACATATTCAAATCTACACATAGTCCTGTTTCTCTAGCCAATAATAAAAAGATTTCCAAGTTTGATAGAAGTATGTATCCTCTTTCTCCTTCAGAGACAAAGTCAACCTGTCCATTTCGGCACAGTCCAGAATCATTTTTAAAATCAGTTCATCAGTAGGTGGTTCTTCACTCCTCAATGTTGGGTAAATACAATCCTTGCTGCAGTAATTACATGTAGAATCAAATACATTGCTTGTTTATCAACATCATCAGGCACAATGCCTAGTCAGGTTTAAATATTAAAGATTTTTGTAACATTTCCTCAAGCCATTTATGTATTTTAGCCCAATTTTTTTTGCCTTATCACAAGTCTACCACATATGATAAAAAGTACCCAGTTTACGTTTGCATTTCCAACATCCATTTGACATATTTGGAAACCTCATTGCTAATATATTTGACGATAAGTACCATCTATAAAACATTTTATAAACATTTTCTTTATATGAGGTTGCTAAGGTTACCTTGATATTTCTTTCCCACAACTTTTGCCATTTCTGTAACTCAATATTATATCCAAAATTTTGTGCCCATGTTACCATAGTTTCCTTAACTTGTTATATCTAGCCTATCCTTGAACACCCTCAACGATGGGGCTTCAACCACCTCCCATGGAAGCCCATTCCATACCGTCGGGGACCTAACTGTTAGGAAGTACTTCCTGGTGTCCAAGTTGAACCTTGGTTCCCTGAGCTTTGCTCTGTTGGAACATGTCCTGCCCCCCTCTGCAGGGGAGAACAGGTCTGTATCCACCTCTGTGTGACACCCCCTCACATACCTGTATGTCCCCAACAGATCCCCTCAGAGTCTTCTCCAGTGAAAAAATCCAGTTCCTTCAGTCTTGCCTCATACAGCTTTCCCTGCAAACCGGTCACCAACCTTGTGGCCCTACGCTGCACTGACTCTAACCTGGCTATATCCTTCCTGTAACGAGGGGCCCAAAACTGAGCACAATACTCCAGTTGCGGGTGCACCAGAGTCATATAGAATGGTAGTAATACCTCTTTCGATCTAGAAGTCATGTTTCTGGCTATGCAACCAAGGGTGGCGTTCACCCTCTTTACCACCGCTTCACACTGCTGACTCATGTTTAGCCTGCAGTCAACCAGCACCCCAAGATCCCTGTTCTCCAGCCACTTGTCCCCTAACCTGTACTTATGACACCCATTCCTATGCCCCAAATGCAAGACCTTGCATTTATCCACATTGAACGCCATCCTGTTGTCTCCTGCCCACTTCCATAGTCTGTCCAGATCCTTTTGGATCTGGAGTACTTGCTCCTCACTTGTGGCTGCTGCCCTGGTTTTATCAGCAGACTGTTCACCCCTTCTTCCATGTCGTTGATGAAAAGAATAAACAGGATCGGCCCCAGGACAGAGCCCTGGGGAACCCTGCTTGTCACTGACCGCCCAGATGATTCCCCACTGATGGTTACCCTCTGCTTTCGGTCAGTCAGCCATTCCCTAATCCGTCGGACAGTGCATTGGTCTATCTCAAATTTCTCAACCAGGATATCATGGGGCACTTTGTCAAAGGCCTTGCTGAAATCCAGGTAAACCACATCCAATGCATCCCCTCTGTCTAGCCACCTTGAAACCTTGTCATAGAACTCCACAGGGTTTGTCTGGCAGGACCTGTTATTGCAGAAGCCATTTATGCAGCTAATAGAACAATTTAATTCTTAGGGAAAAATAAGAGTTTTGCAAAACTGAAATTATGTTGGTATAAACATCTTTATTTCTTCCTCCCATTTAGTTTCCTGGAAATAAAGACATATCTGCACAATGGAGTGGAAAGTCAGGTCACCCCCCACCTCTAGCTTGCCGATCAAGAACTTTCAGATTCAGGGACTTTATCCATCACAGCAATTTAATGCTTCAGGTGGCTTTTCTCAAGCAAATACATCCATGCAGAATCCTTGTACTTACTTTGGAAGTAACCAAACCATAAATTATCAGACTCATACTAACAACATTGTTGGAAATACACCATTTCAATGTACTGGAGGTTCCAAAACAGTAAAGCCCATTTTCCCAAAAGAATTGGTATCTGGTAATGGCCCTGTTCCATCCCAACATGTAATTAATGTAGCTCCAGTTTCACGTTCCAGTATAAATCTTCAGATGACAGGTGGCATAGACCAGAATTCAAATTTGATGAGAAATGCGCATATTTCTTCTGCTGGATCAACACAAAGTAGTACCGCAAATCCTATACAAAATGTACATCAAGCAGCAAATCCATATATGGTTGTGGACAGCAATAGTAATCATACCGTACAAAATTCTTCTAACTCTACAAAAACATCAGTGTATCAGCATGCTGACAAAAATAATCCCAAAAGCCTACCAGCGCGAATGCCGTACTATTATAATAATGGGCCTGCTACCTCTCAGACGGGTGCAACAGTGCCCCATAACTCCGCATCAAGCCATTACTTGAATTCCCCACAGAATCTGTCATGCATTGTTTACCTTTTAGCGCCAAATATTCAAAAGCAAATAAATGGTCCAAATCCAAACCTGCCAATAGCTGTGCAGGCACAGAACTATGCCTCTGATCCTCCACCATACTCAGTTGCTGCTCACCATGACTCAAGAAATGCAAACCAGATCATCCCTCAAGTGACTAATACAAACTGTCCATCAGCATATCTGGTGCCTCCTGTACAAGCAAACCATGGTCAGTTTCTACTATCACAGCCAGCTGCCAATATAACCAGTGTATCTAATGAGAATGTTCAAGCCTATCAAAGTCTTGTGTCAGAGCAAATTACTAATTTGCATTCTGCACAGCATGGTCAGAAACCTCAATCTGCACCAATTGCTAGGGAAACAAATGAAGTAGGCAACACTGGGGTTAGTATAACTGGACAGAATGCTGAAAATCCGCTTTCTAATAAGTCTGCAAACTCATTCAGTGAAGTTGGAGAGAGCTCTGCGAACAGTGCACAAACGGCTGGAACAGTTCTTCCTGATGGAGCTTCAATACCACGGACAAGTAGAAGTTTGGAACAAGACAATACAGGTAATGGTTCAGAAAATTTCCCGGAGAATGTCTCTAAATTTAAAATAACAAGAGAGAGTCTAGCACTGGATTTCAAAAAACTTTATGAAATGAAAATTGCATTCTTAAAACTTAAAGAAGCATGTTCCATAAAACATAAAATATATCTATCTTCAGTACAGAAGAAGCAGACACCCGACACAGGCCAGACGCCTGTTCACAGTCAAAATCCCAATGCTTCGCTTCCTTCTCTGTGCAATACCAGTCAGAGCCAACCTGTACCTTTACTATGTGACAATCAGGTATTTCAGGTCCCTTCAAATGATGCCAAGCAGAAGCCGTCCCTTTCACCTATTTCCTCTGGTTCTAATCAGATCAAAGATGTTCCCTCATCGCAGATGAACGATCATCACTTACTGCCAATTCTCAGGAGTATGCTTCAAGGTACTGTTGATGAAGGTATGTTATCTACGACTTATGCTGAAAAAAGACCTAGACATCCGAATAGATACTTGGATGTTCAAGAGAATTCCTCTAATGCTCCGTTGGTTTCTGGTGGTAGTAAATCTGAAAACCATGTGAATAATAGTGACAAATCTTCTAGGCTGAGCCCCAAGGCCTTTCCAACTTATACTATCCAAGAACCTTTGGCATGTACAACTTCTTTAAAGACTAACAATCAATTGGAGAAAGGATCCACTGCACCCAATGGATACTTTGAACTGAACAAGGCTGCAGTAGAGAGTTTCAATAAAAGACTGGCCAATGAAGTTTTTAGTTCAGTTCAAAATGCAACAAATGGATCTTCCCTATTAGCAAAAAATGTAATACAAGAGGGCAGTAAAAATGTTCATTCTTCTGGATCTACAGGTCCTGCATTGATACAGCAGGGTAAAAATCCTTGTCTTCAAAAATTTGAGAAAAATGTTACAACTGCGGGGTGTAAAAATGTCCCTGATACATCTGGTTCAACTTCTCTCCTTTCTAAGACTGCTGTAACAGTTTCAGAATCAAACACAGTTGAGAAACCCTCAATTACTGGAAATTCTTGTAAAGAGGGAAGAAATTGTTCTTTGGAAGAGTTAGAAACAAGTCTTGCTTTATGGCGGAAGTGCCTTCCAGCATCTCTCAATGGACAGTTAAGTGGAACTATGGACTCGGTGGTGAGCTTGCCCTCCTCAAATGATAAAATAGATGGGAAAAAACAGCAAACTTCAGAAAATATCCCCAATATGTTAATTCAGAATGATCAAACTAAAGTTATAACTGGATCAAATGAAACAATTCAGTCATCTGGTCCTTCATCTCTTGGAAAAAATTTTGATTCCAATTTGTTAAAGGCTTCGGAACCTCAAATAGCTATTGTTACTCCTTTAATACTTGCCAAAGAAAGTACTCAAAATGAAGTGCAAAAAAATAGTCCCTCTTTGGAAATAATATATCCAGTTATTGAAGAAGGTAGTCTGCGTAGTTTGGAAGAACTTATTTCTACCGTACCAGATACTAATAAAGAGGTTTGTTCACCGTCAGACTCCTGTAAATACCGTAAAGATGTTGATAAGGACCAGAAACGGGCCAAATCAACCGAAGGAAATGGAATACTGAAAGATGAACGTGTGATAAACTCTTGTGACCTAAACCAGGGGACAGATAGTCACTTTTCTTCAGAATCAGAAAAGCTTCAGTCCCAACTTGGTTCGGAAGACACCTTTCCACCTGAAATGAATGCTAACTTTGCAGGTCCAGTTCCTCAAAAAGTTGTAAAGTCTGGTCTAGATTTGCCGGGGCCATGTGGCATTGCTGAAGTGGCCCATAATGACACTGAGTTACAGATATCTAGTGTATGTACTCTAGTACAAGGTGATGCATTTTATAATTCACAAATAGCTAATATCTTTTGTATTGAGCCTATGGAATCTAATATTAAAAATGACACTTCTTCAAAAGAGTGTACGCCTTGTTTGCAACATAACAAACAACAGCCTGGGCCTTTGCAAAGTGGTTCTGAAATAACCATGAGTGCCTCAGAGTGGAATGTCTTGTTGCCATCACCAGATAGCTTGACAAAAGCTATTGCAGAAAGGATTGCAGACTTCCCAGATTTAGAGATGGCTCAAAGTAACAAGACAGATGAGATGAGTGTAAGAAATTCTGAGGAAGAAAAGTCCAATAACTTCCCTGAACATATGCTTATTCCAGGAAAGAAGCTTGAGCAAACTATGTCTTATACAAAATTGGGCAGTGACAATGAGGGCTTGCCTAGTAGTAAAGAAGATCTGATCAATACCAGTTCTGCAAGTAGTATGTGCATTATTAGGAAAGAGAGTACTCTGGAGCAGGTACCAGCTGAAGAAAGTGCACATTCTGAAAGCAGCGTTGGAACTCCTGCAACATTACTGGATGATCAGTTGACTGAACTTTCAAAAGAATTTCCTTATGGAATTGGTGATTTGAAGGCATTAAATGAATTGACAAGCCAACATTCTGTCACTAAATTTACTGAGAGGGATGATAAAGACCATGCTTGTGCGAAAAAGACTGATTCTAGTGATACGATAGACCAAATTAAAATAATAATATTAAATTCTCAACAGATGAAAGAAGTGTTTCCTGAGCATAATCAACAATCTTGTAACAAAACAGAAATCCATGAAGGTGACCAACTCAAAAAAGATCCAAAAGAGACAAGAGAACACAAAAGCCATATTAAAACTGATCAGGACATGGATGTCAACAACAGTAATGTCTCAGCAGAAACCTCTGTAAAAAAAAAGCATACATACTGTTGTTTACGTGCTTGGTTAGCTTCTGTATATGCACTGGAGCCTTGTTCCTGCATGCTGGATAAAGAAGCTGCTTCCAATGAGAAAGTAGATCTGTATTCAGAATCTAAAACTATGTTTAAAGACAGTTCAAAAGCCAGCAAAACTTTTAAGACTGAAGATACACTAAACGATCCATTGCAAATGACTACATTAGATCTAGAGAGCAATGTGGCTTTAGGAGATGAAAGTAACATTTGCAAGAGAACTTCTGGACACAAAGAATATGACTTTCAAGCAAACGAATATAAGCCATCTAAAGTAGATCAAGAAGGTGTTCCACTTTCTTTCTTGGAAAAGCTAGACTCTATAAAAACCGAAAGAACTGATGAGCAGGAGATGAAAGAATTGCCACTTGATACAACTTCTATATCTGTGAAGACAGAACCTGTGGACATTCATGAAGAGACAGGCATGCAAGAGTATTTCTCCCGAGATCAGGCACAGTGTCCTTCATGCACAGAAGATGTGAAAATGGTGATAGTTTCTGGAAATCTTGATCAGATGGAATCCAGTAACAAACTGAGAAGTCCAGGACTTTTAAAATCAAAGGAAGATGCTCATCAACATAGAATAATTGACATCAAACAGAGTACAAACTTTGAACAATATAAAATTACCCAGGACTCCAGTGAAACACAAATGATTATGGGACCAACTTCAAGAAAGTGTTTGAAGAAACAAGTGGCAGTGAAAATGGAGTATGATGCTTTAGACATCCAGCATACTGATGCCATAAACTCCTCAAACACGAGCAGCATTGGTTTGGTTTCGGAAAGGCGTGAGAGCACTCCACTTAGTTCTGCCTTGCAGACACAAGGAGATTTAAGTGGGAAGAAATTGGAAAAAATTAAACATTTAAAGGAAAAATATGCATATAGAAAAGCAGAGTATAATGAACCAACTAGTTCTGAGCATATACAGGACACCTCTGAGTGTACCCAGAAGATCCCTGAGCATATTCAACACAGTATTAAAAGGATAAATCTTGAAAAATATGCTTATTCAAAAGAAAATAAAAATGTATGGAAACACAGAAATCCTTATTTAGATAATAAAAAAACTACACCCCCAAAACAAAGAGAACTTTCTAATATATCTAAAAAAATTTCCCCAGCCAAAGAGGTTGGGTTAGATGTGCATAACAGAGACAAGTGGTCTGAGAGGTCTCTTTCTGATAAAAAGGCATGCTTCACTCGAAAAAATAGTAAGCTGTCAATTTCCCTTCAAAGGGAACAGAAGAAAAGCTATTTGAATAGAGTTGCTTTCAAACGTACTGCACAGAAAATCATTCGTTTAACAAGCATAGAATCAATACATTCCAAATCAGTTTGGCATGTGAAATCAAGTACTGTTTCTGAATGTCCTGAAGACCAAAAAAAGAACAGTTCATCTCCCCCTCCACCAAAGGCAGAGAAACAACAGATGCTAGAATTCAAAACGTGCCCTGAAATACTGTTTAGAAATTCAATCTTGGAAGAACAAGATACAGATGCAAAGCTTCCTGAAAAGGGGAAAACGCCTATTACAGGTATACTATGATTTTTCTAATACTTCAAACTAACCTGTAACATTAGTGTCTAAGTTAAATATGGGAATTAAGAGTTTGCAGAAGCAGAGTAGTATTGGTAGTATTTACTGCAGTATTTACTGCAGAAGCAGTAGTAGTATTTACTGCAGACTTTTTGAACATATTATATTTAAAAGTATATATTATATGTATGCATATGGGAAAATGGTTATATAAAGAAATTGATTTTGCACAATACCCCAAATACTGCTTAGAAAGTAAGTTACTTTTAAAAAGGTCCAATTAAATTGAGTTGATTTCTTCCCAGATGTTGTGATAAATGAGCTTTATCTCAAGCTCACATTCTACCATGTAATATACACTTAAGTCCTGCAATCAGGTCCTTTTCGATCATTGTAAAAAATGCCTCAAAATTTCAGTCTCCTGCCTTTTATAGGTTTCTTATTAACCAAAACATGCCTGGGGTAACAGATGTCCAAAACTTGCATAAACATAGTTCTATTGGGGACTTTTATACCCCCAAACAAAGAGAGAAAAAGAGGTTGCCAGCTTCCCCCTCCCCCTCCCCCAATTTTCCTACAGGTTTCCCTGGGCTTGTTCTCAGGTGAATGCCTCTCCCCACTCCTGCTCTGCAGAGGCCTCAACTACTCAGAGTAGCACAGCTGCTCCTGCAGTTGGTGCTCCCTATCCTCTCTCCTGGAGTGTGCTTCCTGATGTCCTGCCATCACCTGGCCAGTCACCTGTCTGTTCACCTCCTGGCTGGATTGTCCACCGCATGTGCTGCCTGGCTGATAGTCAAGGTGTCTCTCGTGCAGCAGTACTGCACTATTGCCTCAACCTCCATACCGCCATTCTTTGCACAAGACATGAGTTCATGTTCTGGAGGTTGCCTTTCATGCGGGTCATGGGAACAGCACGCAAGAGGTCGCCCATTGTCTAGGGACATGGGAACAGCATACAAGACTGTGTGTGATGTTATACTGCCACAGGAGCTGGACATCTCAGCACTCAGCTTGGCAGCACGTGAGGTGAACATGGAAACCTCACAGCGAACAGAATCAAAATGCTCCACGCTTCACCGTGCTTCTGGTATTCACACATAACAATTCCTGCCATGGCTTCTTGTTATGTGTGAATACAGCCACTGTCTCTCCCACCCAATTTAGTGTTACCTAAAAATTTGATAAGCATTTTCCCCACCTCTCTCTCCAAGTTGTTAATAAACATTTTGATACTCAGGACCTAGCTTTGTTTGCAACCCACTCAATATCTTCTTCGAGTTTGATGAGGAATTTTGAAGCACTGTTTGAGTTTGGATATTTATCCAACTGTAGCTCAGACTAGAAATAGAGCTATCCAGTCCACACTTAACTAGCTTGCTAAACAAGATACCATGGGGCACCTTCTCAGCTGCTTTGCTGATGTTGAGGTATTCGATGTTTTCAGCATTTCCATGATCTAAGTTACTTTGTCTAAAAAGAAAATATGGTTGATTTGGCAGGACTCATTTGTGAGAAATCCAGTGATCACTCCAATAATGTTAAGGTGCCCACTGAATGAACAGTTTAAAAACTTGGGAACACAAGACAGTCAGCACCCCAAGCAAGCGACAAATTCAGAAATATAGACATTTGTGTTACCTTGTTTAACAGCAGACTTGATGGATTCTTGATCTCAGCAATTCTGAATGGAAGCATTTGAAGGTGGTGCTCTTTATCTGGCCCTCCATCTCTTAAACTATTCTGACCAAATTCCAGCATCTGTCCCACTCTAGTACATTTTTTCATACTCGCCAATGTACAGTATAAAAAGAGCTCTAAAGAATACAGAACATCTCTGTGTTCATATATTTTGAAAGGTTTAGAGGCCAATCCCCACACAGAATCCGACAGGAACTGTAACCTCTGCTGAATATGTTGCTGAAATATAGTGCAGCAACAGAGGAAAACCCCTATTCCTCAAAACAGTAGAAGATATTATAAGTAATTAACAATTAGCCATTATACAAGTGTACATTAATCCCCTTGGCCTTAGCTCACAAATGCAAGGTTAGAACAAGAAATTTCAAATTTTACAAGTTAGATAAGTTCTTGAAATTCTTTAAATCTTTAAAATTTAGGGTTTTTTTTGTCATTTCTCAATTAAAACATGTCTGGACATAGGCTTAATATTGAGAGCTGGTGTAGTACAGTGGTTAGAGTTCAGGACCTGGAAGATCTGCTCTCCAGTTCCCACTCAGCCATGAAGTTCACTGGGTGACTTTGGCCCAGTTGCTTAATCTCAGCCTAACCTACTTCATGGGGTTGTTGTGAGGACAAAAGGGACCATTATAAGCCACCTTGTGTTCCTCACAGGGGAAAAGGTGGGATGTAAATGCAGGAGGAGGATGAAAATTCTGTCTTACATAAACTCACAAAACACTGGCTCTTCGAAAAATCTAAATTACTCAAAGAGGACATGGGAATATCCAACCATGACTTCTCTATTCTTCACATAGCTTCTTGTTTTGGGGTCTTTTAGAGGCCAGTAAAGTACATAACTGCATGTTCAGCTGAAATAGCTTAAATGTCAATGTTCAGATTTTAGCAATGGCTAGCTAGATGTCACTGGGTCTTAACAAGCAGGAATATATCTTGTGTTTTTCAAAGGGATAGATGCTTAAAACTGTAGCAGATTTCCAAATGAACAGGGTTTGTTGTTATGAAACAGCAGTGGTTGTATATTTTGTGCATACCTAATACATGGGTATCTTTATCAGACTATATAGAAGATGCAGTGTTATCAAAAGTAGCCATGCATATTAGACAGAATTTCACTGGCCGCTGACTACTACATTGGTCACTTGTAATTATTACTTACAGCTGTTAAAAGCAAAAGAGAAGACTGGCTAAATTACATTCCTATAAAAAGAAGAAAAACTGTGGAAACTGAAGCTCAAGGTAATTTTGCTTTCCAGGTTAAAGAAGGCTTGACTTTTAGAGGGCTGGCAGTTAGAGCGGAACTGAACAGGCAAATTTTGTTCAGGATGTGGAACTATGATTTACCCTTCCTTTTTCTTTATCTGCTTTTTGTACCTCATATTAGACTTCTTTCTAGGTCTATGTTAAGCAAGTACAAAAACATAACATGTAGCATTTCTCTAATGCTTTGGGAAGTTAAAAAAGTTCACTTATTGAGAGTTCACCACTGAGCGTTCATGAGCTTGATACACAAAGGACTGGCCCAAAAGTTGGATCCTTTTTGAAGCTTTTCTTTAGGATGGCCCTACCTACAGAGAGATTAGGCAAGTGACTACCTGCAGCTAGTTCTTTTATAACTGTACAATGTTTCTTTAATTGCTTTTTCTTTTGTCAAACCTGGAATGCTTTTGGCTGAAAGGCAGCATATAAATCTAGAGATAGGTAGCGTTTATTCAAGAGAACCCCATGATTTTGGTTGCATGGAAGGCTCTCATGTAGCCGATTGGATTATTGCAACGCACTCTACGTGGGGCTGCCCTTGAAGATGGTCCAGATACTTCGGTAGGTTTAGAATAGAGCTGCCAGGATGTTAATGGGGACCAGCAGTATTCAAATATAATGTGGTCCTCTATCAGTTACACTGGCTGCCAATTGGAAGTCTGGGCCCAATTTAAGGTGCTGGTGATGACCTACAAAGCCCTAAACAGCTTGGCTCCAGGATACCTGAAGGAGTGCCGCCTTCCCTATGTGCCCTCCCGCCCCTTGAGATCTGAGATGGAAGTCCTGCTCTGGGAACCTTCCTTGAAGCAGATCAGGAGGGTGACTACCCGAAGGAGGGCCTTTTCTGCGGTGGCACCCCAATTATGGAATACATTCCCCAGAGAGGTTTGCCTGGCACTGACACTTTATTCTTTTCGGTGTCAGGCAAAACCTTTTTTATTTTTCCATTATTTTAATGTCTAGTTGGTTTTAACTTGGGTTTTATCATATCGAGGTATAGGATGCTGTGCTTTGTTTTACTTGTTCTTCTGTTGTAAGCTGTCCCGAGGTGTCAGTGGTGGACGGGTTAGAAAAGCTTTAAATAAATAAATAAAACAAATAAACTGCTGTTTGCTTGATTACATCAGAAATGCACCAAGTTATAAAAAATAATTTTGTTATTAGGCAGACAGTATAAGCAGAAGAGAGCAACATTTAACAAAGTTCATGTTAAGTAAATGTGTGTTGTCTGGAACAGAATTAGGGAAAGGCTAAGAGCCATGTATCTCTTGTTCTTGCATATATAATACAGTATTAATTGAAATAGTACCACTGCAGTCCTTTGAGTCTGCTCTAAAGTTAGCCTAAGTGAATTCAGGGGCACTTACTCTGGGCACAAGGAATGAAGTCTTAGTGAAAAACCCTGAATTGTGTAAAACATTTTTTCCAAACTCTATAAGCATCTCAGATTAAAATAGTGGAATGATTTTGTCACTATTCTTGCAGTTGATGAAGACATTCCACTTGGAATTGAAGGTTTTCATATACCTGTGAAGGATTCTAATACCACATTTCAGACCTACAGGAAATTGCATCTGGAAAAAAGTCAAAGCCTGGATAGCAGTCCTGTAAACTAGATGTCCATAGGCATGGGTGATCTTGTGGGAATATTTGTGAATGGCATCTGCTTTTGAATGTGCTTGTATTAATATTGCTATGGCTTCAGCCTTACTTGACTGACAAATGTGGCCACTGTAGCAATCAAAATAGTGAACATTATGTTCGTGTGTGGTCTGTGTTTCCGTAGGGAAAATACTCAGGATGTTTTCCCAGAATGTGTTGATATTGCTCTGCCAATTCATGAACACTTGAATGGGTCACAATTTGAGAAGATACACTTCTTTGGGTGTTTTTAAATTTCATCATCTGATCTAATTTATCAACACTGCCAGTCCCCAAATAAGCCAAAGTCTCTGGCCTGTCTTTTTATCTAGGCATTTTAAAGAGATAATGTTGTTTTCTTTTTTTCTTAACATTGGGAAGATAGTTGAAACAACCGTCAAAGAAGGTGAGCCTTAGCATATTTTTCAAGGGATGCTGAACTATATATGCTGCTAACCAGTTAGCTGGTTCATTAAACACTTACAAAAACAAACTTCTTTTATCTCAAATTTCAGTTTGGGATATTTGTGTGGGTTTCTTCTAATCAAATGAAGCAAACAATATTGTTTATTATTGTTTAAGAGTTGTTATTGTTATTATTGTTACTATTCTGGTTGAAATTTCAGTGTATTAGAAAACCTAGTTTACATTTTGACCAAAACTTTACTGAGGGTCAAGATTTAATTTGGATTTATCAGCCAGTTACTAGACATATTGTAAGCTATATTAGCTAAATGTTTCCAAATGCATGCCCTTAGGGATACTGTGATGTTGAATATTCATTTAAGTGCCTTTTATATTGTTTGAACTTTTTGTTATTTTGTGAAGTTCTGTATTTGCTGATACTTTATGCTTTTTAAATTGTTGCTTAAAATGAAAATACTATTTTTTGTTACTAAAATAAAAAGCTTGTTATTTTGACCAGTGTTTTGTATTTTGTAAATGTCTTAAAATATGTTTGCATTTTAAGCAGAATGACAAATTATAAATGACATGGGGCTTGATCCAAAGCTCCCTTGAGCAGAAAAACATAATTTCCAGATCCTACCGATTCCTACCCCCTTCTGTTTCAGCAGAGCTTTTCCCTTCTTTGGTTCCAACTAATGTTAACAGAATAAATAGAGTCCTCATTGCTTTTAAGTAGGGTAGTTTGTATTCAGAAATAACGCATATTATTTTGTTTTGACATTTGTCAAATGAATTCATGCACACATTGATCTGGGAGAGAAAAAAGAGAAGAACAACAGTGGGTACAATAGCCGAAGAAAGGAAAAGAACAGCAGAGAGAAGCTGCAGGTTTGATGCTTACGGAAAAGTTATATAACTACAGGTGTTCTACATAAACAGTCTGCCAGTTTAAAGGCTTGCATTAATTTAAGGAGCATATTACAAGATAGAGAAATGTTACTGTTACCTATAACAATCTTTAGTGTTACATCCTGTGTTGGAATATTTTGCCCTTATCTACACCAAGTACTCAAGGAGGTTCAGCTGTACAAATGTGTTAATATTTTTATCTAATCAGATCCTTAATGCATGAAATGGTAAGAAAGCACCGTGTGCTCTCATGCATTCTTACCATTTTCTATATTTGGCACAGTGAGTGGTCTGCACATGCAGGTGTTTTTGTTCTGCCAGTAGAAGATGGGATCTTTTTAAATTGAAGTTTAGTCGGAGGATCTGCCCTGTGAGGCACCTTCCACTTCCTTCCTAAGGCCAATCTTTTCCTGGCCTGCATGATGCTTGGAAGTTGGTAGTTTTGTTATTTTCCTGGGCTCCAGGATCACTGCAGATGGGGACTGCAGCCAAGAAATTAAAAAACGCTTGCTCCTGGGGAGGAAAGCTATGGCAAATCTAGACAGCATCCTAAAAAGCAGAGACATCACCCTGCCAACAAAAGTGCGTATAGTCAAGGCTATGGTTTTCCCAGTTGCAATGTATGGCTGTGAAAGCTGGACCATAAGGAAGGCTGAGTGCCGAAGGATTGAGGCCTTTGAATTGTGCTGGTGGAGACTCCTGCGAGTCCCTTGGAAAACAAGACGATCAAACCGGTCAGTCCTAGAGGAGATCAACCCTGACTGCTCTTTAGAAGGCCAGATACTGAAGATGAAACTCAAATACTTTGGCCACCTAATGAGAAGGAAGGACTCCCTGGAGAAGAGCCTAATGCAGGGAACAATAGATGGCAAAGAAGAAGGGGACGGCAGAGGATGAGGTGGCTAGATGGAGTCACTGAAGCAGTTGGCGTGAGCTTAAGTGGACTCTGGGGGATGGTGGAGGACAAGAAGGCCTGGAGGAATGTTGTCCATGGGGTCGCAATGGGTTGGACACGACTTCGCGACTAACAACAACAAGTTTTGTTATGTTGACTCCCATACTGCTGGTGTAGCAACTTATGGTACATCTGATTCTTTGATCAAAGCTACAAATGTTACAGACTAGGAATTTGATATAAACGTGAGCGTTCCTTCCAATGGATTGGAGAGAAAGACTGAAAACATCCACATGAAAGCTACAACTCATGCCTGCAACTACTGTCCAGTCAGTTCAGCAAACTCTTTGACATTTGGCATATATGGTGGTGGTAGTCCCACATGCAAGACTGAAGATGAGACCACTGCAGCTGTAGTTCAATCAGATCTACCACCCCAAACACGATCCTCCATACCGACCCATCACAGTCCCACACTACTTTCTGAAAATGCTATGCTGGTGGTTGATCGATGCCCGTTTTTCTCAAGGAATGCCATTCTGACCACTGGACACAATGATTATGCTGTATATCGATGCATCTTGAAAAGGATGGGGAGCCCATTGCACCTTGTACTGAATGCAAGGAATGTGGCATGGATACAAACAGATAAGACATATAAACTACCTAGAGCTACTGGCAGTCTTGATGAGAACATCTTGATGAGCAAGAACTTTCAGCAAGAACATCTTGATGAGCAAGAACTTTCAGCAAGAACATCTTGATGAGCAAGAACTTTCAGGTAGCCACAGACAATGTATCCACTGTTGTTTATATCAACAAACAGGGAGGAATGAAGTCAGTCCCATTGGCTCAACTGACATTATGCCTTTGGAACTGGTGCTTCAATCACAGAATCCACAGTTCATGTTGTAGGCACCGAGAACGTGGAAGTGGAGCTTTAAGCCGCTATATTGTCCCAACACATGAGTGGGAGCTCAGTCGAGACATTTGCCAGCAACTGTTCAGCCACTGGGGAAGACCTTCAGTGGATCTGTTCACAACTCAGCAGAACAAGACATGCAGTTCCTGTTGCTCCAGAGCAGGGATGGGAATGGACTCTCTAGGAGATGCATGCATGATCCACAGAAGAGCACATTCTTTTATGCATTCCCTCCAATTTCTCAGACAAGACAAGGCAACCTGTATTCTGATTACTCCATGGTGGCCTCAACAGACTTGGTTTCCAACATTTCTACAGTTCTATCACAGGACATATCAGCACCTTTCAGAAATTCCAGGCCTGATTTCTTGACAGCAAGGGAAATCCTGCACCCTGATCTTCACACGTTGAGATTGACGGCTGATACACTAACCTTGGCAATATCTGACTTGGACCCTGAGATAAAGTCCATCTTGCAATCAGCTCTCCGTCCAAATACGAGATGATCATATGCTTCAAAATGGAAAAGGTTTGAAATGCATGGTACCAACCACAACTTTAGATCATCCACTGCTATGGTATCCTTCAATTTTATTTATTTATTTATAACATTTCTATGCCGTGCCCATCGCCGAAGCCTCAGGGTAGCTCACAAAGAGCAAACAATCAGGCATAGGATGATATAAAAAATTTGGAGTATCACGGCAAATATAAAACCATTAAATAAAAACCAGTTAACAATTAAAATTTCATTTAAATAAAAAGGTCTTGGCCTGGTGCCAAAAACCAAATAACGATGGCACCAGGCGGACCTCTCTGGGGAGCGCATTCCATAGGTGGGACGCCACTGCAGAGAAGGCCCTCTGGGTACTCACCCTCCTAATATCCCTCACAGAGAGCTCCCGGAGGAGGGTCTCCCCGCCGATCTCAAGGGGCGGGAGGGCATATATGGATGTAAGCGCTCCTTTGGATAACCAGGTCCCAAGCCGTTAAGGGCTTTATAGGTGATAACCAACACCTTGAATTGGGCCCGGACTTCAATGGGGAGCCAGTGAAGCTGACGGAGAACTGAGGTTATATGAGAACAATGCCCAGTCCCCGTCAGCAACCTGGCAGCTCTATTCTGCACCAATTGAAGTATCCAGACCGTCTTCAAGGGTAGCCCCACGTAGAGCGTGTTACAGAAATCTAATCGGGAAGTTACCAATGCATGAGTCACAGTCGCCAGGCAGTCGTTCTCCAGGTAGGAACACAGCTGATGGATCAGCCGAAGCTGAAGGAAGGTGCTCCTCGCCACTGCTGTTACCTGAGCTTCTAATGTCAGCTCTGGGTCAAGGAGCACTCCCAAGCTGTGAACCCTGTCCCTAAGAGGGAGTGCAACCCCATTCAGGACAAGGTCCAAGTCCCCCAACCCGAAGCCCGACCCACCTACCAACAGGACCTCCGTCTTGTCTGGATTGAGCTTCAGTTTATTGGCCCTCATCCAGCCCATTACCTCGGCCAGGCACCGGTTCAGTACAGCCACCGCCTCACCTGGATTAGTTGAGAACGAGAGGTAGAGCTAGGTATCATCAGCATACTGATGATTCCGCAGCCCACACCTCCTAATGACCTCTCCCAGCGGTTTCATGTGGATGTTGAATAGCAAGGGGGACAAAATGGACCCCTGCGGAACTCCATGGCATAGCTGCCATGGCGCAGAGCCATAGTCCCCCAGCACCACCTTCTGGAAACGGCCCTTGAGATAGGAGCGCAACCACTGCAAAGCAGTGCCTCCAACTCCCAATCCCGCAAGCCTATCCAGAAGGATACCATGGTCAATGGTATCGAAAGCCGCTGAGGGTCCAGGAGAACTAACAGGGACGCACTCCCCCTGTCTCTCTCCCTGCACAGGTCATCATACAGGGCGACCAAGGCAGATTCAGTGCCGTACCCGGGTCTGAAGCCGGACTGAAAAGGGTCCAGATAATCAGTTTCATCCAAGAGTGCTTGGATTTGTCCCGCTGTATTTGTTACAGCCACTACCCACTGTAACACCTTGCCCAAGAACGGGATGTTGGCCACTGGTCTATAATTGACGGCCACCTCTGGATCCAGGGATGCCTTCTTTAGGACTGGCTGGACTATTGCCTCCTTAAAGGGGCAGGTACCTGGCCATCCCTCAGAGAGGCGTTGACAACCTCCAGGATCCAGGTCCAAATCCCGTCCTTGGCTGTTTTGAGAAGCCAGGATGGGCAAGGGTCCAGTAAGGAGGTGGTAGGGCGTACCTGTCCAAGTACCTTGTCCACATCATCAGGCTGCAACAACTCAAACTCATCCATCAATTGTGGACCAGACAGCAGCATTGGCACCTCCCCAGTAGAATCTGATTCAATAGTAGAGTCCAGCTTGTGACAAATCTAAGCGATTTTCTCCTGGAAATGCTTGGCGAAGTTGTCACAGCAGGCCTTCGAGGGTGGCACAAGATCTTTCTTTGGGCCCAGATGTACCAGCCCCTGTACCACCCAAAAGAGCTCCACCGGACGGCATTGTGAGGAGGCAATGGAAGTGGAGAAGAATTTCTTCTTCACCGCCCTCACCGCCACAGCATAGGCCTGATAGTTGGCTCTCAAGTGTGTTCAGTCAGATTCGTCCCGTGATTTCCTCCACCTATGCTCTAGATGTCTCCCAACCCGCTTCATCGCCCGTAATTCCAGTGTATACCAAGGGGATGAATGGGTTCTGCCATATGGAAGAGGATTCTTGGGAGCGATCATGTCAATAGTCCTGGTCATTCCCCATTCCATA